TTAAGAAACCCATGAAAAGAGCTGCACATTTAAATCACAGCCATGAATTCTGAATATAAACAAAGAAGCTTACATTGACAGTGTAGCTCCTAGGATACATTATTGATCCTTGAACACACTGCTCCCCCAGGACCCAACAATCAATTCAGCCATATATTAGAATGAGTTCAGCTGAACCATCTGCTCTGCAGAGCTCTATGTGAAAAGAGCTGAAAGCACATTGCATGTCCTAGCAATAATTAACACGTCATAAAGTCAATACCACTAAGGATGTATAGATAAATAGATTCCTGGGGTTCGACTTGATATATCAAAGGAAAAGCTGAAGTTTCAATAGTAGAAAAAAGCATTATAGAACATTCTTAGAGCATTTATCCATCCTAAAGTAATTGTTAAACAGATCTTACCGCAGTGTCCTATGCTGAAGCCAGCTTTCATGCTTGTAGTGAAGCTTCTCCAGATATTCGATGGGAATTTCTTGTTCTTCATCTCTTCCACGCAAGTAAATCCTATTTAAGCATTTCTAAATGCAAAAATGGAAAAGAGATTGGTTGTTTTTGCAGACATACAGAGTAAGTCTAGTTTGCTGAGTTCTGTGGGATTTTTTGTTTGTTTGTTTGTTTTCCCCCCGACAACCCTTTTTACTGTGCAAAATATGTCAAAAATGAATGTTCAACTTGCTTCCTATCTTAGGAAACATGGAAACATTGCTCCATTTCCAGCTGATGGAGCCTACTGACTATCTTCAAAATCAAAGAAGGACTCAAAGAAATTTATTGCATTGTTTCTCCGCTACAAGGCATGTCTCAAATAGGCTTTTTTTATTAAAAGAACATGGGGACCGGTGTATTGCATGGAACGAGAATAGAAGCACCCTTACAACATTACAGACTGGCATTTCAAAATCTCCTTATGCATTTCTGGGTCTAAAGAGCTCTGTTTTTGAATGCCATACTTGGTTTCAGTCCTGAACACATCCAACGCCTCCAGTATAAGATGATCAAAATTCTTTAAAACTGCTTAATTTTGTAAGTATACATTCTCAAACTAAAGGAGGAAAAAAATCCCTTGACAATAAGCCTAGGAAAAAAGCCCTCACAGAAACTTTATCTAGCATGTTACATTACTGAGTTGTTAAGCACAGAAACAAAAGATCAAAGTAGAGAAGTATGGAAGTGACCTACAAGTCAGTTAGTTACTACAATTGGAACCTTTTAAAACTCCTCTTATTTTTTATCCTCTTGTGCAACTTTCATACTCAAGAGTGGTATTTATGTTGTTACCTTCTTTTAAAATACATTGCACACCCAGACATCAAAGCGTTGTGCTGAAGCACTGCATCAACCAAATGCATTCATCTGGCTTAGCTCCATTGCTCCAGGTGAAAGGGCTTCACAAACACACACCCCGTATCCTCTGAGGCATTAACTATAAATTATTCTGTCACACCAAAGATCCTATAGCTAATTTTGCACTTTTCACTTATTTTATTACCAGTAGTAGTAGTTTCTGGTTTTCTCATCATATAAACAACCTGCTTTTATAATTAGAAAAACATTATCTTCACATTTTATTTACAAATACGCAAGCTACATCTGAAAGAACATTCTTATGTTAAGTACTTCCAGACGGTATTAGTAATAACTCAAGTTATAGTCTCTGGGGGAATACTACAATCTAAATTGAACTCTAATCATTAGGATTCTTACGGTGAAGGTTAAGAATAGCTCAGTATTTTGAAAAGATTACATTCAAGGCAAGTTTTTCAACTGTTTTCTTGTCGTAGACATTCAAAACCATCCGTAAAACAAAGAAATAGTGAGATGTAATGACACAGAACCGTGACCTTAGTAGAGTTCCTTACAAGTACATTATTCTTCAGTCATAAAGTCCTAAAATCATAGTTAAAACCTGCATTTTTAGCAGAAAAAAATTCCATGGGAGTACATACAAAGACCACATTTTAACAGGGAGGCACAGAACAGGTACTCATTTTCTCTGTTGTCGTAATTGTTTACTCATTACCTCAGGAGTGGCTCTGAGATAAATGATCCCGTCCAGCACTAGGCTTTGACCGAACTGCCTATTCATCCAGTCATGCCAGTCTTGGTAAATAGTCCATTCTGTTTCATTCATGCAATCAGACTCATATAAATTAGCTGCAAAGATATATCTGTGAACACAAAACAGTTCTGTAAACAAAACTAAGCTTGTATACAGTTATCAAGTTCTTTGCCTGAACTACTGGGCAGCAACTAGGAAAAGAAGCAACATAGTAACTGTGTAACTTTCATAAATATTTGGACAGGAAATAAACAGCTGGTTTCCTCATTCTGTACCTCTGTCTATTCCAGAAGCATCCACAAGGAACAGTAAAAACTGAAGCTCAGGTATCTGTTCAGGAGTAATTTATAAGCCACTGAAACACTGAGGAAATTTATTTACAATCTATTAGAACGCAGCAAACAAGGATTAAGGATTCTGTGATGGAATTCAGTGATCAAATCTAACCTTCTGCAACTACACACTGAGAGGTACAGCAATATAGAACAGCTAGACCTTTTTCATGAAGCACAGAAGAAAACAAGAGCAAGCAACAAAGAAACTGCTCTTTGTTGTTGCGTACTCTCCTTTTATTTAAAAGGAAATGTGTATGCACAAACCATAAAAAAAAATACCCAGAAAGAGTAAGAAACTACAAATAGTTTATCGAGGCCTGAGGGCGATCTTATAATTCTCTACAGCTACCACTAGTACCTCCAAAGAGATTTTACTGACGTGGGGGTCGGACTCTTCTCCCAAGAAAGAAGTGAAAGGACAGGAAGAAACGTCCTCAAGTAGCACCAGGGAAGATTTCCGTTGGGTATTAGGAAAAATGTCTTCACTGAAAGGGCTGTGAGGCATTGGAACAGGCTGCCCAGGGAAGCGGTTGAGTCACCATCCCTGGAGGTCTTCAAGAAACGCGTAGGTACGGTGCTTAGGGACATGGTCTAGTGGTAGTGCTACCACTTGGCAGTGCTAGGCTAATGGCTGCACTTAATGATCTTACTGGTCCTTACCCATCTAAATGATTCAATTCTACGAGTTCAAGGTTATTTAACAGAAGTATAAACCCTCAACTCAGTAAAATTATTTCACTGTCAACACCGCTGAGAGAATGCTAACAAGCCTCTTAAGGCTATCCTTGTGATTCACCTGTATCAAAGTTAAGATGAAGGAAGTGATGAAGTTCAGGCCTGCTCCACCTGTTGTTTATTTCTGGGCTGTATTTAGGAGGATTTCGCTCTTTGCTCGAAGGACTTCACGTCCAACATACCTGTCGCTGTAGACGGATCGTTCGAAGAAGACCACAGGATTCTCTGCCTCTCTGAGTTTGCCTTCAAGGGATTTGATTTGAGCCCGAATTCTGCTGAGGCAGGCGTAGGTCTGGAAAGTGAAAGACCACCTCTCCGGTTTGTCATACATCATCCGAAGCACATTTCCACCGCTCTTCTGTGATGCAGTCAGCTCCTGTTTTTAAATAAATATGGTGAGCCTCTCGTATTAGAGAGGTTGTGGTCTTCTGGTTTTGAGAAAAATTAAGTTTCATCTTAGTTTATCATACCTCACAATCATCTTCCGAATTTTGTTGAACATTGCACCATCTAGCTACAGGCTCATGAACAACTTCCCATTCTTCATCAGCTTGTTTGAGGATATTCACAAACGTTGACTTCCCTGCAGCTGTAGAAAAGCATTGAGGAAGAATAGTAGTCAAAAAGGCTCCTGTTCTTTAACAAGGGAACAACTATTTTCAAGTATCATAAATGGGTGTCTCCCATCATTTTGGCTTAATTCAGGTATGATTCAGAGACCATAGTTCACCACAAATTACCAAGGAAGTGAAGCACTATTTTTTGTGTTTTTAAAACCCTTACAACACTCATATCAAAGTAGTAATGACAGCAAGCCTGTCAATTATCTGGAAAGTTACATTTGCTTGGTGGTCCACTCTTGGGTTCAAAGTTGCTGCAATTTACACTTCAGGAAAAAAAAAAAAAAAAAAAAAAAGAATAGCGAAGAAGAAACATAAAGCAGAAGGGATGTTTTCTCAAAGATACAGCATCCAAGTCCACCACCAAGTGAAAAATGCTAAGATTTTAAGAGGGGTACTTAAAGCTGAGAGATGACAAGCAGTTGGTTCTCAAGTGCAGGAGCAGGCACCAGTCAGCAAACTGGTACCTACTCCTTACAACTCCTACCCTCAATTTTGAGCTCAGTTCTTGGAAAAAAAAAAGAATAAATAAAAAAAAAAAAAAGAGCATCTTATTATGAAGGAACTTCCTGCTCTTCACAACTGTTAAACAGGTTTCTCTCGTTTGCTGAGGGAGGTATTGAACACTACAAGTTTAACCTGACAGCCTGCATTTACACAGGTGTCTTATGCTTCAGTCAGGAACGAATAAATCTTTACAGGAAAGGCAGGAGAGAATAACCCTTTAAAAATAAACCCTTAGAAAGGCGAACAAATTAAAAACCCTCCCGGGAAGCTTGCTTTTCCCCTCAACCCCCCCGCAGCGTTCCCAGCAGCCGATGTTCTCCTCGCGTTATCCCCCGGCTCGCTATCGCGCCGCGACTCCGCTTCTGGGGACAGAACCGGAGAAAGGCAAAGCCGCCCCCGGGCACCAAGCGAGGCGGCGGGGCGCCCCCCGACTCACCGATGTTGCCCTCCACGGCGATCTTCTTCACCCTGCCCTCCAGCCGCCCGCGCTTGGGGGGAGTCGCCATGAGGGGACGGCACCGGGAAGGGGGGGGGGATAGAGGAGGAGGCGCTGTGTGAGGGAGCCGCGCGCGCACAGCAGCCGCGCGAGCCGCCAACGGCCGCAACGGAAATAACCGTCGCCCCTTCCGCCGCCGCGCTCGCGCCCGCCTTTTGAATTTGGCGCGCGCCGGCCCCCGCCTCAGGGGCGGTGGCGCCCTGAGGGGACGGGCAAAAAAAAAAATAAACGTGACAACCGTGGTCAAACATAAGCTATTTATTTTCCTCTTATAAACAGCCTTCAGCTCCTTGTTGAAAAAACAAACAAAACAAAACAAAACAAACTAGAATTTAAATATTTTGTCCCATCACAGACAACGATCTGTATACATTATTTACAACTCTCAAATAAACATGTTGCGAATTTTCAGACATTCAACTTTTTTTTTTTCTTTTTGTAAATCAAAAGCTGTCATTTAAAATTAAAGGAACAATCAGTGACTACAAACTGAAGCGATATTGGCACAGTTAGCTTACAGTAAGGGTTCTCATCTTGCATTTTACACCATATTTTCTCCCATATTTTATTAGGATTTTAAGAGGAGGAAAGGTTAGTGTTGCTTCTGTAATATATATATATATTTTGCCTTCAGAAGTGACCTTTTATTGAAACCTCATTCACTCCTACTGCATTCTTCTCTCCCATTGCACAGCAAGGTATGTGCTTCTGTGGTACGAAGCAACACGACTACAGCACACAGAAGTAATAAAACAGCAATGTAAATAAGCGTTCCCTCTGCGACATATCTCTGAAAAATGTCAGAAGTTGCAAATGTACAAAAATAATGAGTATAGTTTAGTGGCTATAAAAATTAATTTCCCCTAAAAATACAATATTCTATGAACAATTCAGGGAATTTGTTTCTAAAACAAAAACGTAATCTGGTATTTACCTAGACTGCAATCTTAACCTGGTAAAAGGAAATTGTAAGAAAAGCATGAAAGTAGAAAGGTTTAACACTTACAATGACCGATGTTAGCCTCATCTTATAAGATCCAGGAAAAGACAACAGACATTCGTAAAACTACTAGTGGTTTTAGTGCAGTTTGGGAAAAAACAACTGAAATTAGCAGTGAAAGAAATAAGATTCAGAGTAACGGTGAATCTTTTAGTGAAAGTAAAGCAAGGAATCTGTATTCATGCTGCACCTCTTTAAATAGTCCAACTAAAAGGGGGTGTTTTATATACAGTAATATAGCACTCTGGCAGGTAGGAAGGGGGGAAAGGCTGGTAAGAAAAACTACCCAAAAAGGATATGTTTATAATAAAACTGTGTCTTGTGGTTCAAGAGAAAGGGGGGCAAGAAGCAGAAAGGAACAATCTGAAAGGTACATAAAGTCCATAGCAGCAAATAGGTATCCTTTACCTGTTAAGTGAGTGTCAGGGAGACTGGGAGAGTGTTCAGCTCCTAAATACTGAAGAAGGACAGTGCTCCTCTGCAGCTTGAAGTAAAAGCTAAAGTTCAAAGCTCTACATTGCATAGTAAGCAGTAAAAGAAACTTGATGCTTGCAGACGGGCCGTTGGCCCCTTGAAACCTGTTTTCTCCCCTCACCTACCATTCAGCTACCTGCAACAGCAGAATGTGGCATTTTTCTTTTCTATTTGCACAATTAACTTGTATCCCTGACTTGAATATGAACGACTGCAAGCATAACATATCCAACACCATCTCAACAGTGTCAACACTGGCAACGGTGGCCAAACGTGCTTAACTAACAGTTTGTCCCATCCCGGCTTGAGGTAGATGACCTCCTGAAGTTACCACCCACATCACTGACATGGTCGAATACGCTGGTAGCTGAAGAACACCCCGAACAGCAGAATTAAGGACATCAGTAGACTGGAAGGCCTCAGCAACCACTGGCGGCCCCCAGCCTGATTTAGCCCCATCGGCACCTTCTGCTCCCAATGGCCACAAAGCAGAAAGGTTTTGTTTCAAAGATCTCATGACACGTAACAGAGACTGTTTGTAACACCGGCCTAAAGCAGCACATTTGTTCAGGGTTCACTTCTCTGGGTTTTATCCGGGGGGTTGCCACCCCCCAACCGATGCACTATTTTATGAACATATTCACTCTACCCAGATTCGGCTTGTAAAACATGACAACTTTTGTGTAGCATTTTGATGTGCCCTTACTTCACAAGTGTAAACACACATGAATTTCTGGTCCCACATCTTTTTGAAGCAAAAAAGGAAAAAATAATTAAAAGCTGCAAATATGAACAGCATAGGGATATTGAATCCCAAACACTGCATGCTTATCTTTAATGTTATTTTCAAGTGTTGTATAATTCAACAATGTGTTCATACAGTTGTCAGGCAAATCAAGATCTCCAAGCTTTTATTACATGCCTAGAAACTATTCTGTAGAAGTGTTTTCTACTGCCAAATCCTAAATGCAAAAAAAATGCACAATCCCTGTAAGGAGTAATATTTTAAGTAATACATTCAAATTCCTGATTTGCTGAACTGCAGTGAATGCCTCTGAATTTCTAGAATTGGGTGTTCCAAAAAAAAAGGAAAAAAAAATATTTCAGAGTGCAAGTCTGCAAAAAATGAGGAGAGCAACTGCAATGGTTACCAGTCACAGCAAATCCTTACTTTTAAGTATTCTTCTTTTTAATTTCTTTCTTGTATATGCCACCAAACCAACAAAAAAGCTTTAAATCCAATAGAGGGTATCTCCCCTTGGTGCAGACTTGTGCCACTGTCACGTCTTGTTGCAATGTGGTAACACAAACTCTAGCACTGGTTGAAAGGCTCCAGTAAGCTTTATTAGCACGGTGAATATATGCATGCAGCCTATTGAGCTGTAGTGACTCAACTCAGTAAAGCAGTTTTCACTGGCAAGTTTATAGGATTTTTAATTTCCAACTGCATCCGCAGCACTCTTCACGCCTCTGTAGCTGAACGTCTATCTCCCTCAAGCTTAGAAGTTTCAGTCATTAAACACTTTTTGGATAGAAGTATGCATAGAAGGCTGTGTGTGCAAGATCCTGGTCTAAATTCAACTTCCTGCATGACTGAAGTCCATTTAAAATACTGCACTTCAAATTCAAGAGCTAAGCTGCTTTTGCATAGTCACGTGGGTGCTCTCCACCCCCAGAGCTCTGCAAAGATGTTACTCTTTTGCATTTAGTCCTGAACTAAATTAGAGCCCTCCAACCCTCCACCCAGAGCTTACAGCAGCCTAATCAGGCTCTGAGTTGCATCCCGATCAGATGTCAGGCACGCTACTCAAGTTCAAAACAATTCTGCAGCTGCAAAGATATCATGAATCATGCACTGTCCCTACTGCATTCCCAGCTACCTTGCTGAATGTACCATACAGCACAAAAAATTTAAAAATAAAATAATAAAATAAAATAATAAAATAAAATAAAATAAAATAAAATAAAATAAAATAAAACAAAAATAAAATAAAATAAAATAAATGTGGTGCATTGGAGGAGAACTCTTTTTGCAACTATTAAAAAGGATGGTACTTGCCCAATCCAACACATGGGATGTTCTGCCTATGGGAGTTCCTTTCTTATTAGCACATTAATCGACTCCTGACAGCAGGATTTAGATGTTACACCACTGACTGACTCTTTCACCAGCCAACAAAATTTCATGGGGATGCCTGTCAGACTTCGTACATCCTCTGAACAGGAAGACTGACAAAAGCATTGGGGTGAATACTGCAGTCATAGGTGTCTTGACAAAGGGAAGAAAATTGTGCTTGTCTCTCTTATGTACTTTTGCCTTCAGTTTTCTATTACCTTACACATTTTTTTCTGACCCCCAACTCACTGAAGAGAGAACAGATACATGGCACCTCTCTTTTCCTCCCACGTGCACGTACACACAGGGGAGAGTCAATATCGTGACTGGCTGCAAAATGGTATGTCCCTACTCTATCTTTTTTAAGCTAGGAGTCTGTCAAGACATTTGAGGGAAAGCTCTCTTTGCATCATCAGCTTGACCTACTTCATCTTTCCAGTGTGGACTGTGATCAATGTAATCCAATCCCAACTCTCAAGTTAACAAAAGTCACAGTAAAGAAACTCCCTTGATAGTTACCTATTAGGAAAATGTCTTCATTCTGTGTAGACAGAAGAAGCTGAAACAGAGTAAGTGAAATTTTCCCTTGTCCTTAACTTATAAGCAGCTTCTACGGGATATTGACCTTGACCTGCAAAGGAGACAAAATGTATTCTGTGTTTTTTTTTGAACTTTAGAAAAGCTTCTAATGAAGCCAAGGGCTGTCTGAATTACCTATGCTAAACTCCAGGTGTTTTGCAAGCAGTCTCTGTATCTAACTTTACTGTAACCAAACCTAAATTCGCTATGAACACTACTGCATGACCACTCTTTACTGCTCTACAAGAAGAAGAAAAGTTTCCACTTCTAAATGAAAAGCTGTGAAAAAAAGCACACAAGGCCATTTTTCTTGTTCAGTACTATGTCTTCTCAATTGTTCTCCAGTCTGGTAAGAAAGAGAGACAGAAGTAACAGAAGTTTAAACTGCTTCTCACGCTGACTACGTAATTTAACTCAATTGCAGAACAATATTGCTCTTAAAATAAGCTTCTGATGATTTTGAAGTACATTATTTTAACACAAAATCAACGATTCTTGTCTCCAAAATGAGCATATATTTGTTATTGTGCTTAAATACTTCTTAGCTCTCTATACTAATGGCCACTTAGATATTTTGCGGGCTGCTGCACAGCATTTTCTCCTTTACTCAACGCTTCCAGTCAAGCAGAGGTGCCCAAAATAAAAGCTCAACTTTTCTGCCATGAGTTTACTTGTAAATTTCCAAGGTTTGAGAGTCAAAGTAGTATACATGGGTCAGTTGATACATACACATTACTCAGATCTAAATATGGTGTTTTAGGAAAGTCACAACCTAGCAAAGTCTGCCAACCTTAACCACCTATTGTATCAGATCTGGCAACTAGGATAGCACACTGCAGACCCTAATGCATATTTATTTGAAGCCCAAAAGCAGCAGCATTGACCAGACCCCTAAATGAACCAGAGAAGAGAGTCATATGGGCTTCTGCAATGGGAAACCCAACTGATATAGTTGCAGCAGAGACTTCCAAGCCATTGTGTGCAACAGCCCCAAAAGTGAACTTGTCACAGGTGATTCTTGTATCTGGTTTGAGGCAAGAGAAGGCTAGAGAGACAGAGAGACTAACACAGGTGGGGGAAGGTCACATTTCAGTTAGATAGGGGAGAATGTTGTCGTGCTAATGTAAATCCTAAATGGCTCACAAAATTACCTTCCCTTCAAACTATGTTCCCTATTACAGAAAACATTATCCATTAGAGCTCCTCTATGGAGCTGGGCTTTTTATTCCTAACTTACAAACACCATCTCGTTAGTTATTTTTAAAGGCAGGATTTTCTTCGTATTACCCCAGTGTAGTTTTGCTACTATCTTCCCTAACTGTGTTTGTGCAAAATGACAGTTCATTTGGCAAATGCTAGGAGACTTAACAGAAGTGCCCTACCCAAATTGGTATTGTACTCACCTGTTACAAAAAAGTAACCACAAAAAGCAAAAAACAGTGCAACAGACGTGTAAGTATTTGCTAACCACAAGTTCTCTGTAATTTTGACACCTCCTTCATCATTTTGATTTGGCGACTAGAGCTTCATATCACTTCTCTTTATAAGAAATATCTACTTTTGAAAAATTCTATATTAATCTCTAAAAAAATAAGACAAATATTTGTATTAAAAGCTGGAGATCACTGATTTAAGTAAGTTATGGCTTTTTTAGTGTAAGTATATATATATCTTTTTTTTCTAAAACAAGTATCAGTAAGTGTCTTGGGTGTTAGTTCGTATTTTCTGTTTCCAGCAATGTTCAGTATTGTATGTGCTTTGCACCTCAGAAGCGAGTTTGCCAAGGCACTTAGAGAATGTAAGGAAGTCTTTAAGGGACTTCATGAGAATGGGCTACCATTGACACAATACAGAACCCATCCACCAGCAGAGTCAATCCCCCAACCAAGCATGTTTCCTTTACAAACAGTCAGCACCTGCTAAAATTCCACAATGAGTAACAACTATCAAAAAAAAAAGAAAAAAAAGGCTATTTACTGCATGTCACTAACAGACAAAAGATTTCCCCTAATAAAAGCAGAGAGTAGAACTTGGCTGTCAGGAATAACAGCACAGGGTTTTGTTTTTAAAAAACAAATGAACAAAAAACAAATACCACACGCTCGCTTAAAGAAACAAGTGACTTCGAAAAAATCCTCTTCCTTTTATCTGTCCTTAGAGGTGAGTTTTTCAATCAGTTCTTGAAGTGGTGCAAGCTCTCTTCTGTCAATAAGGTTGAATTCCTGTAACAGGGGGGAGGGGAAAGACAAACAGAGTTATATCTGCACAGCTCAAGTAGGAAGTCTTATTCCAACAGAAGTCATTTGGTAGTAGGCTCTTCCAGTCCAGGCGTAGCCAACTACATTGTTTTCTGCCTGTCTGCCATTATCTAAATAGTAAAGTTAACCACCTAAAGCTTTTTTCCCCATTTAAGGGGAGGAAACATGCCAAGAAGATGCCCTTTGTTGGGCTGGGAAGGGAGAAGAATGTAGTCTTGTAGCAAACACTCTCTTTGTAATCTTTAATCAATGGTTTCAGAGACTGTCCTCCCTCTTTCTTTCGTAAGAAATTACTGTCCTATTTAAATTTTTTGCTAGGAAACAGTTTTTTCTATTCAGTTTGGGAGCAAACGAATACCTCATTGAAAATGTTTCAATTCCTTGAATACTTCTAGCAGTAAATATACATACAAATACCATGAGACATACTCTTGGAGCCTTGGAGGTGTTGACTCATCCACAAACATACCCACTGTTATGAAACTGAATGGGTGTTGCTTTGATACAGTACTTTTCAAGATAATAATCATAACTGTAACGTTCCTGCCACACTTACCTGAACAAAAAATATAAAGTGCTTGAAAGAAGTGTTAAGATGTGCCTCTTCCTGCAGCTGGATAACTGGATCAAAGTGCTGGTGATAAATGTGAGCGTAAACTCTGAAGAGACGCTTTAAAATCGTCTTTGCCACTGACATGAAATTCTTTGGGAACGGTACACCTACAAACAAGAATAATGGATGGCTTATTTTTAAACACCCATGCCATGTTCATTTATGTTAAAACCCATTATACCCCAACCTTATCTCTTGCACCCCACTGTGCTTCCTTCACAGGAAGGGCTGCTTCATTTCACTCAGCAATTTTGTCTGTAAGTCACACAATGCACTTAGACCAATGCACAATGACAAGCTCATTAGAAGACTGCAGGGGAGGTTTCTCTCCCACCAGTAGTCCAGTGGCTTACGAATTCACCCCAAGACAAATTCAACTACATTTCTATGCTAAACACACCAGATACATTTGCATTGGTAGCTAAAATCCCCTTCAATATCAATCATATTTTACTGTTTGCATGGCTACAAGTGAAGTAAGAAAAAATGCTGTCTCCCAGCTGTCTCGTGCTCCATGAAGAGATTCTGTCTCCATCCAGCTCATCATCATCCCTTTGCCTGAGGCTACTGCTTTCTTACCTGCCTGCTGAAGAACTGACACATGCTCCTTTCACTCTTTGCCGTGAAAATGACCCAGGACATGTAAAATTAGTTTCAACAGCCAATCTTTGTCGGTATACAAGTTCTATTAATATTGGTTAGGAAACTGCAACCAGTCACTGGGAGCAATAATCTATTTAGCCAACATAAGTTTTTTAAAAAAACAACCAACAATTATCGATCATCTAAGTAGATGAAATTTGTCTAGCTTCTCATCACGTAGCAGATCTCCCAGACAGCTTAGTTCTTTTGCAGTCCTTCCAGCTGGTGAGGTCCTGTCAGAAGCCCTGTCAGTAGCCAAAGCTGGATGCTGGTGGCCAATCATGATCTTAGTAATGCTTTAAAATTCTAGAAATAAAATTTCCACACTTTACTTCAGCTTGTCCTGCTTATAGATATATCACATTTCCTTCATCGGCTACTGCATCACATGCAAAGTTCATATTTAATTGCTTATCCACTGTGGCTTTAAGTCCCTTTTGGCATCACTGCATTTCAAAAATATATTCTATTAAAAAATAAGTCTTCATTTATTTTCATTCATACTTACAATCATAAAAAGTATATGCTGAACTGAAAAAAAGATCCAGTCCTGACGTAGTCTTTTAAGGACCGCTTTAATACAAGCTCTAAGTATTTAATATCACTCCTTTTAGTAACAAGACTTCTACTCCAGCTCTGAACTCTACCCTGAAACACTAAAACAAGTGTCACAGTACATGAAGATACTGTGTTCACATCTACAGAGCAGAAGAGATTTAGATTTTTGTCACTCTTCTCAAACTAACCAATCTTCTTTGCATATCTGCTTAACATAAGTAAAAACAAATGCCATTTGATTCTGACAGGTGGCCCTGTTACTCTGAATAGGCTTATTGGAAATGTGTCAAATGCCTCAGAAGCTATGGACAAAATACAAGCAATTAAGAGCTCTCCCTTCCTTTTTCTACAATGGTTCATAGCCCTGTGAGTAGCAGTGCATTGGAAAACTGCCAGTTTGGAGCTTTAGAACAAATTGTCCTCCGTGCCTCCAGCAGGATTTTCTTCTCCTTTGCATTTCAGGAGCAGTGGTTGTTCGTTATTTTCCTCCTCCATTTCTGCAAGAAACCCTCTTAAAAATATGTCTTCCGTCTTCATTTGAAAAGAAAAAAAATCATGCAATTAGGATCAAAAATACAGTTCAGCTTCCTTGGAAGTAAGGTCTAGAACTTCCCCACGAGGACCAAGCATCTTTCCTTTATCAAAAATCTGCTAGTTTGCTCCAATTTATTGGTTATAAGGTTTAGAGACCCTCCTACGTATCTTTAAGGAAACAACCCACCTTTCAAAACAAAAAAAAAAAAAACAGATTTGATCAAAAAAGACAGTTAAGTAGAAAAAAAGCTTCCTGCATTCATAATTGTTAGATATTTACTAAAAATATTAACACATGGATCAGAGCTCATGTACTACCACATGAAGTTTCTCTTAACAGATCGAAGTGTCTTTCTATATATAATGTTATGTTTTAGATTTGTCCTACTCCAGGATAGTCATTTAGGAGACCTTACAATGCTACAAGACTCCAATATTCCTGTACAACTGCAATCCAAACACATCGTTCAATTTTACTTTATTTACATTACCTATTTTAGAAGGAAATAGCGTCTCATCATCCAGCTGATCCTGGACCCAAGTCATCAGGTAATCTATGTACTTTGGTGCGGAGCACTTGATTGGCTTCTTTATGTTTGTCCCATCTGCCCAGTGGTACTCGTATCTGGGGTGGGATGACAGCAAAACATTTCTTAACACAAGTGAATCATTCGTAACAAGGCCTAGAAGATGGCTCTTCCTGCACCACTCCCTGTACTCCCACACCCTCCCACAGCCCTTCCTTGAAACAAAGGTCCAAATGCTCCCAACGTCATCAGCAACTGCTCGGTACCGAGTCTCCCCGTAATAAACAAAATAAATTACAAGCTGTTGATATGAAACATCAGAAATTTACATTGTATTCTAATTGTATTAAAGGTGTGGACGAGATTCAGAAGTAAGTTAATGTCAAGGAACACTATTAAAAAACGGAAGCTGGTGTAAAGTGCATTTCATCCAACAGTTAAAAGAAAGCTTCTAGATTAAATAGTCATCCGTATCAGATGGTCTAGTATTACCAGGCAGCACACAGAACTAGCCCAAGATGCACAAAGTCACAGTTTCCAGCTCTGCTACCAACTTACTGGATAGCTGCAGTCTTTTAGCTTAGTTTTTCTATCTGTAAGTAAGGTGACATCACACCTTCAGCAAAGCCCTGATGTCACTATAGAGCAATAAAACATGCACTCTTCTCATCCTTTTCTATTCAAAGGGCTAATGGCATTGACATCTTGTACATGGCACATAAGGAGTAGATTCCAGCTTCATTCATTTCACTGTTGCCACATTAACCTGAGGAATTATAAAGCCATGGAAAGCTGTATTAAACAGCATCTGTTTGCATGCACAACCAGAAATAAGTCCTCGTGAAATCAACAGAACAGATTTTTTTTGGCTGGTTTGGGGTGCGCAATGCACACAAGCCCAGACAGAAGAGAAAACAGCTTATCATGGGAACATATAGCTGAAATAAAAGAAAGAAATAAAAAAAAAAAGACACAACAACACTAAACCTGTGTTTAACACTGGGAGTCCGACAATACCAGCTTTCAAGTGAACCACAGTGTTCCTTTCTGTTTCTTGCTGAGTACAAATGCATATATCTTAGTATTCCCTGCCAATCTGTTAACATCTGAGCAGGTTTTTTTTTCTTTTTTTCTTTTCACCTCATCAGCACAGCCACGCGTAGCCCTCTCTTAGATCTAAACGCAGCATAATTCCCCACGTCTGTTTTAGGTCATCCAGCCTTGCTCAGCCAAGCGGCCAAAGAGCACTGCTGCAGAGTGGCTATCTGCAGGGCAAGCCTGCTGCCCAGCCAGAAACGAAGAGGACTGCTGAGCTCTGCAGCTCTGAAATCCTCCCAAAGAAATGAATGAATAATGGCTCAGACTAGCTGCACCAACCACTCCTCTTATTAAAAAACAACCACAAGGGTAGCACTGTCAGCTCACTCGTGCTGTTACAGGAAACCTACCCACCGCATCTACACGTTCTATCCCAGTTCTCTTGAGAAGAATTTGAAGAGATGTTATTAACAGCTAATATTTCTTCTTTTCATGGAGGATAACATGCTCAGCTGTTAGGTTTTCAGTACAGTGGTAGCATACCACACTGCTTGGGGTGCAAACAGCACCACCTGAACTTTCTCCTGCTATCTGCAAATAGTATTGTGAGGACATTTCGGAAAGTCTTCTATTTTAAAGATCATACACATCATTTCACACAAGGCTTAACCATATCTGATCCATTTGGCTTCACGTTCTGTTTAACATGTTTAGTTTTGTCAGAACAGTAACTGGAGAAACATTTTCAAAACAAACAAATTTGCTGAGCGATTCTGAGCGTGCAGCTAACAATGCTATAAAAGGACCCTGGTTTTAGAATGGTGAGAAATTAGAAGGTCGGAAAGCATTTTGAAATCATCTCTCAAAATACACAAGGAAATTCCATACGCAGTGAATGGACCACAGCAATTCTAGCATGAACAAAATCGGTATTCCTCACCACCCAGTATTACCCAAACACTGAGTTTTAAGTGGTATTAACATAGGACAAATGCCAGCTTTTAGCTAAGGTGCCAGATGCAATCTAGAGGCAAACAGAATAACAAGAAAAAAATCTAAATTACATGCTAAATCTCATCCAAATAGCATGTATCCCCAAGACAGCTCCCTCTCCCAAGACTATGCATTAGTTCTGCATTTTTTAGAGAAAGGAGCACCGTAGAATTACCTTTAAATAACACAGCTCTTAAGAAACATAGAAGATGTGCCTTGACAAAAATGAAGTCAAACTCCCCAGGCTCCACACAGTGGGTGTGTAATGTTCATGGTTGTCCCTACACTGTTAAAGGGCTTGGGGTCAGCAAGGGAGGGGAAAATTAATTCTTCTGACAACCTTAAAAACATCACCATAAAAAAACAAAAAAAAAAGAACTCAAGAATTCTAGCAAAAGAGAAAAAAAAAAAAAGAATTCTTAAACATAAAACCAAAATCAATTTTCTCTAATACTAATAAATGCAAGTTATTTGCCATCCATAAATAGATAACCCAATGGTGCTTCTCACACTAGAAACCATCTCTTCATCTCTAACTATAAACATTTATAGGACCAGCTTCTCTATCAGCCAATTAAAAGTACTTGGCTTGGAGAAAAAAAAGGTTTAAAGTAAAATTAAAGCTGTTACCTTTTCCAAGAGCAATAAGATACCGTGGCTCTGTAACATCTTTTAAAAGACTCTCAGACATATATTCGGACCTATTGTCTCTAAATCTCAGTAAAATTGTACTAAATCAGAGTGAAAAGAAAGTGCCATATTCTGTTTTGTGTCTCAGTCATCAAGGAACACAGGTGCAAAGTGGAGTGCCAAAACAAGGCAAAAGGACAGACATTGCTGAGAGTACATGCAGGGTACTTCCAGGACCTGATTAACTGGTTATTTCTTTATTTACTGCTACGAATACACTGGATGGAAGATAGCACATGAACATTCACCTACAGTGTATTACACCCGTGGAGGATTTCTGGGAGGCTGTCCACTTCCGAGTGTCACACTATTCATATTTGACATCTAAACTTAGAAGCACTGCGGACCTGAAGCCTCACGAAAATCAAAAGTGTCTCACCACCGCTAACAGTGAACTTAGTTCACTCACTCAAATGCCTAAATATGGATTTGACAGCCTCAGTTCAGACATCCAGTTCTAAAAAATGCAGCAGACACGTCCTTCCTTTGTGTTCTTATTTAAAGCATGGTTGTAAAACCATGGAGGAAAATAAAGAGAACTCCCCTCATCCCATACTGGTCAATAAACGTATTACTTTTATGCAGGTTCTTAATGTATTGTTATCATGACCGTTGCATTGATGGTGACTAAACTGATACATGAACAGTAAGGAGGTGAAAACCAGCTAGGGTTTGTTTGGGTAAAAAATGGCTTGTCTTTGCACACATGAAAAGAATGGAATATCACTATGAGAAAGCATATATTTTGGAAGAAATCAGATAATTTTCTCAAATTATTAGACAATGAGCTGTGCAGCAGGAAAGAGATCTGTTCTTGATGTCTATGGCAATCCTTAACTAACTCAAGGTACTAATGCCCTGTTAGACTAATTCAGCAATCCTTCCAGCAAAGACAAGTCCAAAATAAATGTAAGTGATCTCCCAGCACACATGCCTCATGTTAACAGAATGGCCAAGTTGGATTTCAGTTGGATTTTATCATTCCTAACCTAAAAGCAGCATTCAGCTCCCCCACTCCCACACCTGTTCAAACCAGGAAGCTTTGGTGGGTCCCCAAAATTGACTTGCCTCAGCCAAGGTTTCCTGGTCAAGATCACTACCAAGAAAAACCAGAGGACCCAGGTGGTACCTACCCAGAGGACCCAGGTGGTACCTACCCAGCTCCAGGTATTTGCTTATCACTGAAGGTAGCCCTCGAGAGAAGGAAACCATCCCAACATCAAAAATAAACACACCAAGCCCCCATACAAACCCAGGTGAGCTGTCTGTTTTTCCATAGTCTGCTTCAGGCTTGTCAGTTGTGCTACAAAAATTGTGACTGAGCCACTATGAGTTCCAAACAGCTACCTACGTATGCACCAGCAGCTTACAAGCCTTTTTTAATATAGGAGCCATAAATGTTTTTCCACTGGGAGCACATAGCCCTGTGTCTGCAGAATACCAAGGCACTCCGAACTCTGAGTTACTAAAATAAAAAGAAAACCCCAAGTGTGGATGTAATTATACTGGCTTGCAACTAACTTACATGACCTAACTCGCACAGAAAATTAATAAATAAAAGGAAATCAGACTGTAAAGCCACAGCGCGCTTGATGGTTTTAGTTCTCCCCAGCTACTCATGCTACTGCTGCCTAACCTGTTTCAAATGACCTTATACAAATTGTTTCAGCCAACTCACAGCCTTTTATCTGAAACAGAGGAGTATGCACTAACGGTGGCGGCTCAGCCATGCATGTAAGCAGACAGCAACCTTCACCCTAGAAGCACTGAAGAGCTCATAAGACTCAGCGCCTCCTCGACTAGCACAGCTTGAGTCAGAAGATAACAGGAAACAGAGAGAAGAAAAAACAACAACTGTAAATATCAGAGCTGTTGCTCTAGTAGGTTTTCTACCAGTACTTCCCTAAAAATATTTTGCAGGTCACCTTTAACTTAAAGAAAGGCCGTGCTCACTCAAACCAGAACCACAATACATGCTCTGCTGCCAGTCACCACCAGCCAAACAGATCACCTGCTCCTGTGCCCGCCTGGCCCTGGCCCCTCAAACACAGGCAGATTTCTGACCCTCTTTCACAAAACCCATCACTGAGCACAGGTGGGGCCTGCAGAGTTTGGGGAATGCTCTGCAAATCCGAGGGACAAGGTCACCTAATTAAAAAGTTGGTAGAATGCTTTTCTTGGCCTTAGCGACTCTCTCCTACCCTGCTTCATAACCTCTTGAGTACTACATCAATTTCCGTCAATGGTTATCGGTGCCTTTGGAGAGAAATAAATTGTTTAGACTGGCAACCAGAAAGCTAAGCCTTTAATAATTAACCTCCGTCCCCAAGTAACTGCTTGTCATTCAGACAAGCAAAGCAAACAAATATTTTCATGCTCTTATTTAATAACCAAGGGCCTGTTCTGCATGCCAAAGCACAAAGCAGACAATGGGCTATGTTATTGCACAAGCCTATTCCAAAGATCTTTTGTATTATAGTAAACTTTATTTCTTTTGTATTTTCACCCCCCTTCCCCGCTTTGCAGCAGCAGGTCTGCCTGCCCACACTGGTTTTGGCATTCAGCAGCAATCCATTGTTAGTTTACCAGCATAGCACCAACCCTTTTCTCAGTGGGTCTGGCTGCTTTCGCCTTGCAGAGCTCCTACCCTCCCTCTCCCTCCAGCAGCACCACTTGGCTCGAGCTCGGCTCCCCACCTCACTGGCTGGCAGCTACTGGCTTCAGACAGTAACAACAAACGTCATTAGGAAGGAGGAAAAAGGGGAAGAGAAGACTGGTTTCCTTTGCTGTTTATTTAAGATTGTAAGGTAAAAAGGAAGCAGTGCCTTCCCTCTCCACTTGCTCAGAAATGCAGTTATTTTCCTCTTTGGAAGACGTGAAGCAGATGGAGAGAGAGCAAACACAAACATCACGTTGGGTATCTGTACAAAAGCGTAAGCAACAACCAAGGAAGTGAAACTTGAGTGACAGCGTACGGGATTCTAACTCAGACTACAGAAACTACAGCCAAGTTTCTTTCTGCAGTACCTAGTCAAACACCTAAAAGAAAGATTTTCCTAAATCTTAATCGAATGCTGACAGACAAAAGCTTCCAGTCTTCATTTTAAAAGTCCTCATGAACATTTCAGAACAAAAAAAGAGAAAACAGTTTTGATAGCCAGGCTACCTCCCAGGCTAAAGAAAAATAAAAAGAAATGAGAGCACCTTTCCATTTCCCAATCCCTTACAAAGGGCCAAGCCTTTTTCCCTCACAGGTAACGAGAGAAGACATCCTTTCCACCCACAGAGATTATCTTTTCTTTGGCACTCAGGTGAGCTAGTCTCTTTCAAACACAAAATCATCTCAAAAATTATGCACACATGCAACAATGAGTAAAAATAATCTTACTTTGGGCCAGCAGACATCACCGGGCAACTCTCCTCCGTGCAGAAGTCCGTGATGGTTCCATAAAGCATGTTGATCTGGTTGAAGAAGTCGACGGCTGTAAAACATTTAAACCACCCATTATCACTCTGCAGCTTGTGACAGTGACTTCTGTTCCTTTGATTATTAATTAATTACCACCACTTAATATTTTGTCCAAAATGTTTCCTCATTTACAAACTCTCCTTGGATATTTCTTTTGGGGAGTTATTCCTTAAGTTTGGTTGCATGTTTGGGATAAATGTTCTTAGCCATTTTTTAAACAGTTTACTGCTGAATCACTGAAATAAATAAAAGACCCAAAGTTAACATATCTAACTATTCCCATTGCTCTAACTACTTTAAATGGATGCTCAAGCACTTAGAACTCTTTGAAAGCAAGGCTCTTCTTCAATGACCTAAGAGCATATTCAGTTTTTAGCAACCATGGTCACTGTGATTTATGAATGTCACTCTAAATTTATAAATTTATAAAATCCACTTTCAATGCCTAGTCCCCCTTGATCTACTGGGGAGCACAGCACATTCCCAAGGTACCAATATGTAAGTTTATCTTTTCAAAATAACTTTGATAACAAAAATAACAATGGATAGCATGGGTTACAACTGAAAGGGGACCTATATTAAGCAGCAGAAAGCAAAATTTCAATTAGGCAGGGTTAAATTCTTACCACTAAGAGCATGACATCGTTCCAGTGTAACATTTTAGTCAATACTCCTACCTCCCTTATCCAGCAATGACTACTGTAACTTGTGCTGATGGAAGAACCCTAGCAATACAAGCATACAGGAACTTAAGACTTGTGGGAGTAGCTTTGATGTCCTTACTCATCTATCTCATATTTTCATCATATGTGTGCATGAAATTCAGCAATTCAACCATATACAAGGTAAAAATAGATTTAATGTCCCAGTGCCCAGTCCACACTTCTGCTAGCAGCATCAGGCCTGCCACCTCTGACAACAGGAGCTTTTACAGCTCGAATTTTGTCATCATGCAAGGCTAGTCCTCACAAGGAGAAACCAGTACATAGTCTGTCTGAGATCAGCACCATGTAAGATTTACTTTATTTAAGTGTTACCTGTGTGATACCCACAACTCAAGGCATCAGTGACAGACTGTTCCCTTATTGGGATGGATTTCAAGAATACTCAGCTAAAACCCCTTATATCATTAAAAAGACATGCGCTATCCAATTTAGTGCTGAGGTGACAAAGCTCTTCATTCTGAACAAATGGGATTGTTTTTCTGAGACCGGCCTTCTGCTGTAGTTAAACAGACGTGTTTGTCTTCGCTTCAAAATTGACCTTTTTAGAGTCATCAGTTCAACAGTGAACACTCATACAACCAATCTGCAGGACCCTGAGGAATGAGCACCAACACCACACTCCTCTTAGCCCGCTGCTAAGGCAAAGAAAAGTGAGTTCATTGCTTTGTAGCCAGCCCAAATTGGTGCTCTCTGCTTAAAGCTAGAGAGAATTGCAATTACGCTGCAATGCAATGGAGGTTGACATCCTCAATGTAAGCAATAAGAAATACAGTATACTATTAAAGTAACCGATGGCTAAGAGAATAGGAGGGTTAAATACTGTAACTATCCTCACTGAATATTCAGGAGTATAAACAAAGATTACATGCACATCCTGGCAGCAAATTACAGCTACTGCTCAGAAGATGCAAGATCCAAGCTACAGCTGTGTCACACAACTTCCCAGGTATCTAAAAAGGAAAGCAGATAAAAACTGATATGGCATGCACCTAGTGCAGTTCATCTCCAGCAACAAAAAAAAAAGGTTTTTCTCCTTCGCAAAGCACCAGCAGAAAATGGCAAGACAACTTTGGGAAGGGTTGATAAAGTTAGAGAGGACAAGAAGGGCTGCAAAAGCTTGTTTGGGTGGGCAGGGGGGAGGCATTTAACACTGCAAAGGCAGCAAGAAGTGGGTATATGCAGCCCTTGTTTTGTAAGTGTACACAAGAACTGCTAATTAAGTTTCCATTCCCTGCTCCCAGTAGAAACCACAGCCCAGTGTTTGCTTCGAGGCAAGCATGTTCAAAAAACCCACACAGACTTCGACAAGATGACTGATTATTGTGAATCCCACACTTGCAAGTCTCAGAAGGCCATGAGACTCACCACCCAGCCACCACAGCCAGCAGTGCCTGACAAACAAGGAAAATGCAAGATCCTCCTTTCCAACATCTGTAAAGCAGTACGGTGCCTTTGCACATTTTCATTTCCTCTTTTTACTCATGGTTAAGTTTTGAGGGTTATGTTACTTTTGGCACACATTGTCTGGTGCAAGTTTTTATTACTACGAAGATAAGGATGAATCGGACTTGTGAACTCATCAAAAACTGTACATGAAACTGAAAATAAACTGATTGCACGCTTCTCATCTTTTCATTTTTTATTTTGAAAACATACTTCAAAAATTTACATGTAAGTCAACTCATTACCATGAGACACCAGCGAAGCTAAGAGTCGAGCAAGAACTGGCAGAGCAGGGCACATTCTTCCTCTGCTATTACTGTTACGAAGGGCAAAACCAATGACATTAAATCATTTACGTCATTTACTTGTTAAGTTTTTTGATCAATAGAAGAGGCTCACAGCTTCCATTAACTGGTACAAGGTGTGGAAGACAGATGTTGTAAATCAAGGGAGCACCTAATGAGTTTCTCACTTCCAAAAAAAAAAAAAAAAAACCCACAACACTAAAACATCACTTTGCTGCAAGGAGGCATGAAAAAAAGACCATTTCGTTGCAAAATGCAGCTGTTACCATACGCCAGTCTTGTCAAACGTTTCACTGCTTTTTGCCAGCCAGCTAATTTAGTGGTTATATCATTTGGGAGCTGAAAAAAAGAGGACACATGGAGTGGGGGAACCACCAAAAGGGAAGGATGCAAGCAATATATCAAGCACTGTTAGTAATGCTTACTCATAAAAACGGGCTGGCTCTTTTTCTAGACAGTTTTGCAATGCAGCAGTGAACAAACTTGTATCAGGAATGGTGTCAGTATGACGGTTCACTTCCCAAACATGTCAAAGAGCAAAAAAGAAATAGAAGTACTACAAATAAGCAATTAGAAGACATTTATCCTAAGCATAACCTATACTGCTCTGCAGCGCACAATCAATACTCTACTTGCAGGCCAAGTCAAAGACACAAAAGCCAAGGAAATACCGAGACAAGGCACAGAATCTGTGGCAGCCAAAATCCTGCATGGCTACAGCGCATGATACAGTTTGGGTTAATCCATTCTCTAAGGACAGAAGGAAGGCAGCAAATCATGCTGCAAGGAGAGGGAGGAAGAAATATGGTCAAGCAATCAGACTTTGAGCATCGTTGTTTGGCCTAGTCTAGCATTAAAAAAAAAAGAGAGCTAGGAAAAACAGCTTTAGAGAAGTTAAATAAATTAAATCAGAGATTTACCAGAGCAAAGGCTCACTACTTGGTAGAAACAAAAGGAAAAGACTAATTTTAGGAACATTGCAAAGATTATTTCTGGGTTTGTAATGGGCAAAAGGAAAGACAAGCAACACGTGACTCACGTCTTAATATCTTTTAGACCTGGTCCTCACACTTACCTACATTAAGGTTCTACGCTTCGCATGCAGAGGCTTGCCTATACTCTTGAGTAACCACCCTAGCTGCAAAAGAGCTAGCTTAAGCATATTCAGATGGCACTGACGGGCTCTTTTCTAAAAACAGCAGTGGCATTTCTACCTCAGCACTTGTTTGCGATCAAGCACTCAGATTTTAACCACTCAGACTACGAATTATTAACAGGAACATATTTTTGGCACAGGGAGCTTAAGGAGTTCTGTCTCAGTGAGCCATTCTGCATCCGCCAGCACTAAATGATATGGCATTCACCTCTCCCCACCTCAGCACAGCGCAGGGTGATGCGTGTACGACAAAGGAGCCAACCCCACTAGGAAGGAGCACACAGCTGTGTTCCCACAAGTGTCAGCCCACATTTAACACCCCGTCACAATCAGAACTGCTCGCTGACTTACTGTTAACTGCAACCCATTCATTTAAGTCTTCACCCTCGGGAAGCATAACAGCCATCCGCAGGTTACCGCTTCCAAGCGTGGCCTCGGCATGTTTGAGCAGCTCGTACTGGTGAGAACCCTCAGGAATATTCTTCTTTGGTTTGAAGGTTTTGGAAGAGCGACTGCCGCTGTGAAAGGGAGAGGAAATAGTTAGAGAACTTAGAGAAACGGAGGAGGCAAGAAGTCACGCGCAAGCACAGGATCATCATCAAAAGCACTTCTTCCACTCCCATGTTGTCACAACCAAAAGGATATTTAACAAGAACTGGGATGCAAAAGTAACAGGTGCTTTGACTTTTAAAATAAAATAAAAACAACTCTTCTCTGCTACCCTGCCTTCTCAGCTGTTCACCTTGCCATTAAGCCAGCCGGACATTTCGGAATGCTCAAATTCACTTCATCCCCTCAGCAAGAAGGATGCTAGGCAAGATGTGACCAGAACTATTTCCTTCCCCAGAAGTTGTACAGCCACACATAAAGGATAGCAGCCCAGCCAAACAGAAATCTTCTTTATTCTTAACAGTCACGAATCTTCTCATGCTAATAAAAGATAGTAAATGACAGATAAACCCTACATCCACCCTCAGGAGCCTGTTCAGACCCTCACTCATCTTTTCAAATCATGTATGGTGTGTTAAGTAGTTACTACAAATTCCTCAAAAATAAGCTGCTGTTATTTACAAAAGCATATTTTCTGCAGGCCCAGCTGATTCAGAACAGTATCTTTGCCACCTCTATCACCAGCAGCGTATTAGATCAAAACATTCACATCTAAATGGGGTTAGGGACTTAAAATGCCAATATAAAATACGCTTTCCAAGTATCTGGTATTATTTAGAAACTGTTTTCAAGGCAATGTTGCTCAAAAATATGCAAACGCTTTAGCTGAATTCTGATATAATTCCACATTTTCCACAAACTTTCTACATCATTTTCCCCTCATTTCACAGGGCACAGACCTTTCAGTCTGTCAAAAAATACAGATGGCAACTTTTACAACTTGCATATAGATCATTTTCCTGCCTACAATTTTGTTTGAAAAACACGGACTGACTCAAGAAAAAAGTTTAGTTACCTACATTTCAAATGATGGCAGTGAGCCTGGATAGCAGGTTAGCCCCTAGCATGTCAGAAACATGACGTGCAAAAGTAAATATTTGAAGAAGTGTCAAATGAGCCCATACTTGTGAATGTTTCAGTGCATGGGCTGAGGAAAAAAAAAAAAAAAAAAGGTTGGAAAAAGAAAATTGATCTCTTGATTCCAACGAAAGGAAGTGCAAAGAGGTGAAATCCAGGCAGCTGAATTTTCATTACAAGCACTGAGCAGTTCTCATTTCTTTAACCAAGCCTGACATTATTTCCCCAGCTCTCCATAGGACAGAACAGAAATTTTTGTTGAAGGCTCACCACACATCTCAACATGCAAGGGTTGTAGCTCACCTTTGAGGCAATTCGAGCCTAGCCACCTTGTCACACTTTGCACTGCAACAAACTTGTTTCTGGCATTTCAGTTTCCCCATCACACCACACTACTAGCCATGAATAGAGAACTAACAAAGGAGATCACTTGTTTCCACAACCCTACACGCCAATGGCTCTGGCAGAGACGCAATGCACACCAAAGAAGGCAACAACATTTTTCCTTTCCAAAACACAATAGGTGATCATACACCAAACACAGGAAGAAGATGTGTATGGCTCCCATCTCTTCTGCTACAGGACACTTCGAACATGCACCCAGTCATTTGCATTACACCCTAAGCAAGGATACCAGATTCAAATCTTAAATAAAGTAATTGCCTCCCAGTGGGAGTGAGAAGCTACTGCGGCTCAGGGAGTTCCCTTCCCCTCCCAACCACCAGCCACCTGCGTTTGTTGCCCGGCCATGCTCAAACTCACTCAGAAGAAAGAGCACCTGTTGAAATAAAAAATATATGCATGAAAAAAACAGAGAACACTTTTAACTGACTGCTTTGACATGCAGGGTTTTCCTCCTCGGGAACACAGAGCCACAGTGACAACAAGGGGAGTGAAAATATAGCTTGGAACATCTGACAATTGACTTGGTGTGTCTGCAGAACAGGGCTGGCACAAAGCAATACCCACAGCAACTGAAGACCGAGAGCGACTGGTATTGTTATCTTCCCACGCGTGTCAGTGTAAGCAGAAGAAAAAACAGCACAAGATAAAGACAAGCACGGCACTTCCTGACCTGCTCAGATTTTGCTCTCTGCATCGGGATATGACAACAAGGGAAACCAAGTCCTGATACTTTCATGAAATTCAAACCAAAGGTTGCCAAAGACTTACCACCACTCCAAAGCTCAGGTCATCCATTCATCATAAAACAGAAAGGAAGATAACAAATTCCCTTCCCCCTCAATGTACACAGATTCCCGAATTCTTAAAACTTAAGCCCTCCTTCCCTCTCCCTGTTTCAAAACCTAACATACATCAGCTTCTCTTCCACAATGCTGTCATTTTATGAAGGGATGAAGACGGAAGAACTTAACCGCTGTAACTGGTCTGGTGTCACTGCCCGAGGCAAAATCCACAACCTCATTACAGAGGCTACTACTGGGTGCAGGGAGCTCCCCTGAGTGTGGTGAGGAAAGCTCCATCCAGAGGGAGCACCTACCAGAGGGATTCAGGTTATCAAGAGCAGCATCCCACTTCCAGCTTCAGCAGAAAATCCTTTGTTCGGGAAGGAGACAGTAGGGGAAAATACAAAGCAGTAGCTAGAAGAAAGTTACTTCATAACTCAACCAAGAAACTGTTTGTTGGATGTTACCAGAGGTTAAGCCAGCAGAAGGAGTGAGGGTTTGAGAACCAAGCACAAGGAAAGCACGGTGAGGGAACTCCCTAAATAGCCCCGTCTATTTTGAGAAAATTCTGGGTATGGATTCACACCCCAGACTGTGCGCTTGCAAGATAACAAACCAAGTCATCGCGGGTCAGGTGAACAGCCAGCAGAGATCTTCTACGGTCGAGACAGCAGAGAAAGCAAAACAAGTCGGAAAAAGGTATCACTTCATCTCTGCTATCCCCTTCTCATATCCAGGGGCTTTCTTTCCACAAGCTGGCAAAATCTCTGAGAGGATGCACAATGCTTGATCTCATCAGCTCCCCCAGACAAGCCACCTCATGTTCGTGTATCTACCTTTGGCTCCTTTACCTTTCAGATCCCTGCTTTTCTAATTCATCACAGCCAACTTAAGGCAGCAGGAAATGGTCTCACGCGAAAGGCAGGCAGGCATCCCAAAGGAAAAGTAATTAGGATAAATGCAGGCTGCTAGCGACCCCGTGCTATGGAAATATCTGCAATTTTGGCAATCCATTATCAGAATTCCATGCATTTGTGCAGTTGGCCATATGTGAAGCCAGTTATCTGCACACACCGTCACGCGCTCCTTATTACAGAGTTCAGGGACACAGCAGCCCAGCACAGCTTTCCCAAGCCAAACCCCTCATCGGACAAGTTTGCTCATGGGCAGCCTAGTTGTAAATGGTGCTGCAAACACAGTTTCAACTTATTAGTTCGGTAGCTCTCCTGTCCTTAAATAAATGAGGATGGTTTTGATTAATGTCTTAGCACTGTCAGTTGAATACCCCTTCAAAAGGCTCCCTTATTGAGTTATCCTGATTAAATCCAGCACATGGCAGCATCTTCTTCCTGCATTATGATTCCCGACACTGAGATGTAAATGCCTTTAAAAAAAAAAAAAAGTATCTTCTCCTTCTTCCTATTATGTTAATCCATTACCTATGGCAGATTTAGAAAGTCCTCCTGTTCCACATCTATTTCCCCACACCCTTGGGCATAAACTAGAAAAGTTGACTTCTAAAAGTTCTGTCTGGTGACCAATAATACAATCAGTAATACGAGGCTTGGTCAAGTATGACATGTTTGTCATAACAGAATCAGCTGCATCTGTGAATCTGTTCTCCTGAAAACTTAAGAACGCCCCTGGTTGGTAGGTTGCAGCCACCTTTCCCTGTTGAGACTTTCTGAACTCTCCTTCAGTTTCAAAAACGTACATCGCATTAATGAAGTTGTGAAAGGGAACAGAAAACTCTCACAAATACCCCACTGAGGTTCCTTGGGCATAAAAAGGTCACGAAATGGGGAAACATTGCATCAGACACAGTATTTGTCACCACCAATTTCTAGTCTTCCTGAAAGAGCCGACTTCTCAAGAATTTCTTCCAAATCTGAGGACGTTTTGCTGCCTTTACTCCCACGTCCAACATTTCGAGCAAATTATGCCCTTCTATTTTTATAGGTAAGTGCAGCTACAGCAGTGCCAGATGCAGCTCAACCTAGCACTAAATCAGGAAACGTGTTCAAAGCCATTGACTCACTGTGCCAGGACGAGTCTCGAAGCCTGCCGAGGCACCTCTGAGCCGCATGGAGCGCTTCCCACCGTCAGAAGCCCACATGCTGCTTGGCCTCACCAAGACGTCACAGCGTGCTTACGAGCAAGAACACAACATTTCTTCCAAAGCTGTAATTTTATCTAGCCATCTGCTGACAGGGAGGGTTTCTAATGAGGTGGATCCTGCTGCCTGGCCTGTCGTAGGTTTGCAGGATGATGCTTCCAGAAGAAAAGAAAATTCTCAGGCATCCTACTTGCACCACACTTCGCACGCTGCCTCACAGCCCACTCCAGCCTCAAACGCAGCATTGGCAAATCTTTTATAATCCAAGCAGTTAAAAACCCAGCCTAACCTCCTGGTTCATTTCTGTTTAAGCGGGGGAAAGGAGCCACTTAAACCTTCACGGTCCTGCTGGAAGCACTCTGGCTGACCTGGCTTACACCTCCTCATACCCAAGGGATTTGTGCACTCGAGTCTTTCGCTGGAGCTTTTTACCTATTTCTACAAGGTCTGCTGCATCTCCATGGAAACCTGAATTAAAACAGAAAAGTTAGCATCCTTATGCAGAAAAAAAGTAAACACAGCATTGCTCCTCCCATCCTGTTTCAGGCCACCTGGCAGCTCAAGAGCACAGTGCTGCTATTACCTTAAATCATTTCATACAGGGCTCATCAGTGGACTGTTTTATCCAGAGGATATCAACTTTCTTTCCTCAGGGAATGTCCGGGTCACTAAATGTTGCATATATAGC